AAAAACCTCTATTAAATAGTAAATTAAATATGGGAAATTTAAAAATATATTTAAAATGTTCTAACAGTATATGGTACGTCAAACGCTATGGGAGGACCTTTAGTAGATAAGGAAACAAAAATTGAATAAATTATGTATCTATAGTTAAATAAATATGCAGATTAGTTATGACAATTGTTTTTTCAGTTAACCTAATTGGGGACTTTTTTTCAACTTGACAGTTGATGTACCGTTATTGGCTTTGACAGCGTCACTGAGGATTCAATTAGGGACCAAAACAAGCTTACTGCGGTAAAAGGCGGAAAGAAAATCTATCTTTGTTTGTGCAAATTAGATATACAGGTTTAACTTTTTTCACTGTGCCGTGCTATATGTGTACATCAGTTATGACGTTTGACATTTGCCAGCGACTTCATCATCTTGAAAACTATCCTCTGGATGCATATATTTAGGTAGTTTTCAAGAAAAGGGTAAATAGGCTACAATTGAGATAATACGTTCACCCATTACGACTTAATTTCAACCTACATACGACTGGAAAGATAGACGAGCATTATCTCATCGAAATTAATCTTAAGCGAAAGATTTCTCCTTAAAATTTTAAATTGTCTAACATCTAGAGGATGTAAAACGTATGCTCATTAGTTTTATATTCATGAAACATTTATAAGTGACGTATTATACTGCGAGTGGGAACAAATAGCTACAATTAGTGAAGTCGCTGTGCAAGTGACCGCATTTGGGAAACCTGGCTGCTACTGTTGGCTTTCTTCCAAAACTAAGGATAACGAGATAGGATATGAATAGTTATCTCTTTTTAAAACGTACTTCAAACTTGCTCAGTTATGTTCTGAACTAGAATTAATCTCAGTTAACCTAATTATATAACTGTAAGGATACTTTTTTAATAAAAAATTTAATGTACGAAAGGAAAAGCAATTACAAAATCAATTATTCCCACATATAGCATTTCGGATTGAGTTAAGTAAGCTTTATAATTACATTTTTCAGAAAAGGATATTATATTACTTCTTGACTATCAGCGGTTATCTTATTATTTTTAAACGACTTTTAATGTTATCCTGTGAGAATCATGGTACTAAAAGTAACTTAATATTCTAGCTATAATTGAGTTGATTACACAAACACAATTCCATTTAAATTGATATTGTGATTTTGTGCAATTAAGTAAAAGAAAACCAGCTATATTGTGTTCGACAAATTTCTGGCAATCCCAATGCAACTGAGCTTATTTTATTATCTTTACATATCTTAAAGTATATATTTGTTTTAATATAGAGTCGGGATCTAATTTTAAATGGAAGAGTTAATTTTTGTTTAAATGACGGTATACTAACTGCGTGATGTCACAAAGTAGTAATTATCCAACAACCCTTATCTCGTATTTTCTGATGCTGATTATTTAAATTCAACTGTTACAATGACTCCCTTTTGGATATATAGTTGGGTTGAGTTTGAAATATTTTTTTAACTACATATAATGTCCTCAAAAAATCCAATAGAATTAATTAATTATAATTATTATAATTAATCGAATTTTTTAAGAACATAGTTCAATATTTTGAATATTCGTATATTTTTAACATTATTCTGATTATTCTATATATATGTAAGACAAGTGTAAAAGTAAAATTACTATCCAATTATAAACCTTTATGATTACTTAAACATTTTTTTTTTTCAGAATTTTAAGAATAAATTAAAAGTAAAATAAATAAATTCTCCCTGATAAATATAAAAGCATTTATATTAAATTGTCTTTTTCTCGAAAACATCCGAAGAGACAGAGCTGTTGGTTTTATTGTTAAATTCATAAATATACTAAAATAAACTATGCGTCATCACGCCGTCTTGTCGAATTAATTTCCTTTATTCTTTTATCTACCGATATTAAAAATACATAATTAACTTTTAAAAATTCATTGGAAACAGAATTATTTATTATCGACATACTCGATTGCCGGCAACTTTCTGTGTCACATATTAATTTTATGTAGTTAAAAGTGATGTTATTGAATGTAATTTAAAATAATATATCGTCACAAAATAAATCAATAATCTCAATATGATTACAAATTATTTTATTTATTGAATGATGAAATTGTTTTTCATTTATTTTATAGTCAATTAGACTTTATCTTAAAAATTATATACAGCAGTATCTCTACCTCCCGTTTCTAAATGAAACTATTTTTTAATATTAATTGCTTCAAGCGTTTATAATAATAATAACTAATACCTACCTCAATAAACAAAACATTGAACACTATAATATTTTTTTTTATTCTTAAGCTGAAATATTTGAGCGAACAAAATATAATACTGGATTAATTTTTCTATTAAATGAATGGTTCACATTAACTTCATTATCAAAGTCAGAGTAGTTACAAAAAGATTTGATTTATTAATTAAAACACATAAAACCCATTGAATGCTAAGAATTTTCGTCTTTATAATATTTCTAAGTCTATTCTAATATGACTTTAAATTTTATACAACATTAATGTTGATTTTTTTTTTCAAACTTTTATGCGAAATTATAGTAACGGATATATTTCGGTTAAGGACTTTGAACTCCCTAATATTGCTTACATTAAAAGTGAAAAAACTATTTTATTTATTGCAGAAATATCTGCAATAAATAAAATATAATACGAACAATGAATAATAATTCAGACTTATTTTTAAGGGATAATTCATAAATATATAAAGTCCGAAAGAAACCATTTAATTCGAAAGTAAATTATCGAAAGGTTAAACTTAATTCTAAAAGTTTCAATTAAGTTTTATTAATAGCGATTAATTAAGAGTTCATTATTTAAAAGAACCAAAAGCATATTATTTTGTTCACATTATCACACATATAAGAAAGCTGAAGAAAAATAGAAAAACAAATAATTTATAAGTATAGAAGAGCTTGTTTAAGTGAAAAAGTATCCAAGAATAAGGATAAGAAAGTATTATTCAAATGAGCCTCGACAAATTTTAATTAGCTCCCTTTTTAAAGTTTGTAAATTACTCAGTCTTTCTAAACAAGATATCTTTGAGCCTTTTAATTACATGGAACACGGACGTCTATTCGTCGGTTTTGTTAAAAACTTTTCCCAGAAAGAGAAAATAAACATCAGTATTATTATTTTATTTCCTTTGCAAAATATAACTTCGACTTAGACTATACAATGTATGTATGTCCAAACAATTTTTATAATATTACTTAAGATGTTCTTTACATTTTGAAATTATTTATAAAATATTAAATTTACTTTAACAAGTGAAAAATATTTACATAGTTTCCGTAGATTAAAATAAGTCAGAAAAATCACGTTAAAAACGATTTTACAGGACCCAATTTAGACACATATGAAACTTCTCAACATTCCATAGACTACAGCCCGAGTGCTGGGTTTATCGCGCTGTAGGGTGAAAACCTTTAGCTGTATCTGGGACTTGCGACCCAGGTGTAAGTTTAGGGGGCCCCTGTCTAAAGCACGTTAAACGCTCGCCGTCAACGTCTAAGCTTCTCTCTCGACTTAACCGAAATTTATTTAAAAAGTCAAAAAATAAAAATTGATTACAAATTGTTTTTCATTGATCTTATATTCTTTTATTCTGAATTTTCAATCATATCTTATATATGTATAAACTTTAGTGGCTAACTTAAGAATATATTTACAATGAATAATATTGAGGAATTTCTTAGCCTGTAAAATGGACAAATCAAATAATCGTAAAACTTCATTATTACTTAAAACTATTGAAGAAGTTTCGCATACCTGACAGTAATTTTAACTTATCGTATTTCAGTAAAATTATTCAAGGATTTCAAGACAAGATGTTTTGTCTTAGATCAAAATGATTCATTCTATATATTTAAAAGTAAAATTAGATAATAATATTGTAATATCAAAGTGAATATTTGTTGGGCCCATATAATATTATAATGCATTAGTTTTATTGCAAAATACAATATTTTCACATAGAAAAGAAAATATTAATAAATCCGTTTAGTGACACAGAAGTTTACTGATTGAATATTTGTTCATAGGATTTTTACTTCCGTTTTATAAATATATACCCTACATACATTTATATAATACATTTATCTGTCATACGTCTGCTAAGCTAAAAAAATATATGGGCTATACATAAGAAATATTGTTAAAAATTTCAACTTTACACATTCTGAATAAAGATCTTTTTATTACATTCAATACAAATCACACGAACAAAGAAGTACCCTTTGAAAAATACACGTAGAGCAATATTTAAAATAACGATACTCAAACGAAACTTTTATATTAGGTCCCTACATATGAAACTGGGGTTTTGTCGTACTTTCAACTTTGTTGTCAAATATATCAAATATAGGATATGTTTGATTAGGAATTCCAAATTCAAATTTATAAAGTTATTAACCTAGTCATTTTTTTTTGAAAACCGTAATTCATATGTTTTTTTCATTTTTGATTTTGTTTTGCATCACATAAATTTCTCGCTGTTTAGGAGAACGAGTTCCGCTGTTTAAATGAAACTAATATTTTCGGATTTTACTTCGCGTTTTATTTTTGATTAGAAACTACATACTCCCGACGTTTCGGCTACTTTTCAGCAACCGTGATCACGGGCAGACGAGATGTGAGTGTCTGTCAGTTGGTCTGGTCATTTTATCTCCTACCGCCATCGATTTCTTAATTGTCTTGCGTACCGCTCTGGATGCCGGCAAAATGCGCTCTCGGTGTCTCGAGGTCCTGCGGTGTGGTCACGGACATGGGATTTTATATTTTTAAGAAGAGGATCCCAGGTGTTTGATAGGTTCCAGCCATCTTCTCTATTGAAATTGGGGTGTTTTTTAATTTCAATAGCCTTGCGGATTAACCTTGGTATCTGTCTTCACGAGCGAGGATCTGTGGTTTATCAAATCTAATGTAATGGCCTGGTTTGTCCAATGCATGTTCGCACACTGCTGACTTCGACGCGCGCTACTGATCGTCCAACTGATCGACCAACTGATCGACCAACTGGTCGACCAACTGATCGTCCAACTGGTCGACCAACTGATCGTCCAACTGATCGACCAACTGATCGACCAACTGATCGACCAACTGATCGACCAACTGATCATCCAACTGATCGACCAACTGGTCGACCAACTGATCGTCCAACTGGTCGACCAACTGGTCGACCAACTGATCGTCCAACTGATCGACCAACTGATCGACCAACTGATCGACCAACTGATCGACCAACTGGTCGACCAACTGATCGTCCAACTGATCGACCAACTGATCGACCAACTGATCGACCAACTGATCGTCCAACTGATCGAACAACTGATCGTCCAACTGATCGTCCAACTGATCGACCAACTGATCGAAAAAGTACACGAGAGACTACTTAGAAAAGAAAGTTCTATGCTTTAGAAAATAAGTTGTGTCTTATCGCTCTGGGATCTTGGACTACTGAGACAAACTGATTTCTAAAGTAAAAGTAAAATGATGTTTCATCGATTTTAATGACTTTTTTAATTAATAGTTTCAAATTAAAAATATTTATGTGAAATATTAGAAAGAAAGTACTTTAACTAAATTGTAGAACATAAATATTTGAAGGATTTATTTTACTTGTTAATTAAACAAGATTTTTCATTACCGAAAGTTAATTTTAATGAAACAGCGATATACACGGAGCGTATATTTCAATCGATCAATCAAATTATTGTGGACTGGAGACAAAATATATGACAATAACCCATTATATTGAAATAATTAACAGTTATTATAAATCTTCCTCTACCTGGCAATTTTCCAGCTTTTAGCCAGGGTCTGCCTTAAATGTTGTGATTAGTTTTTGGCCAATCAGTTATGTCTAAATACTTTTAGAAAGTACATATGACTCGGAAACATCACATTGATACTTGTCACGATCGAACCCGAGCCCTCATGCATGAGAGGCGGGCCTTTTAGCCACTAGGCCACCACTGACTGAATTAACAGTTATTATAAATAATTCATTATAAAGTATAATCAAAAAATAGGCAGAAATAAACAATTTATGTTCAAACACAAAGTATGTTCCTAGTTGCTCATAATCTTCTATATATATAAAAATGGATTGCTGTTCCTTAGTCTCGCTAAAACTCGAGAACAGCTGAACGGATTTGTCTTATCTTAGTCTTGAAATGTTCGTGGAGGTTCAGGGAAAGTATAAAAGGTGAGAAAAATTGGGATAATTGCCGGGAAAACCCTAAAACCAGCCCTTTTCTATTTCCCATACAAATGCTTTTTTTGACATTAGATTTGACAACCAACTAATATGTCAATCATTCTGTTTGATTGATACAGAAAAACCTGATTATTTATGGCCTCTAAGACGGAATAGATTTCGCCTGGTCAGCTATATATATATTACTAATGACGAAACTAACGCGGACGAAGTCGCGGGCAAAAACTAGTTATATTATAAAAGGGAATACAGAAAAATGTTTCTGTTGTAATAAGCTTTTAATTGAACTATAAAGAATAATTATACCGACTGCCGTGTTTCATCTTGGCATCATAAAATGATTTAGGTACTTATACAGAGTCCAGCTTAGTAGTGGTATTTTATAATTATATTTTTATCACTTATTTATAAGAAGTATAAATATAGAGAAAATCAGATAAGGAAGTATAAATTACTTATTATATTTATTTGTTATATTTACACCAGTTATAAATAGTATACTTATAAAATGATTTAAATTATTATGAACTTTTAATATGTACTTATTTATTTAAAAAACTATAACATTATTCTTTAATTGATTAACGTTAGAAATATTGTCAACCAATACTTTACATTAACCATGTTGTTTTGTAGTTTTTACAACTGTGGATACTGAACAATACCTTGTGATTTGAATTTCTTTTAAAGTTCGCGATAATGTAGTTACATTCATTAAAGAGTCATAAAATTGCAAAAAAAAACATCTCGATATTGAGAAAAATTTTAAACTTATATCTTCTAACTAGCATGACTAGTATTGTATATTAGATTTTCAAATATTTTTTAACAAATCATTCTATAAATATACATATGTATGTGTCAATACAAATCAAGTGTGTACCAATCAGATCTTTCAACGCCACTTCAGCAAAAACAGACACAGACTTGAGAATTGGTAATTTTAAAATAATCATCCTCAAGGTTAGAAAAAAGGATTGTTATTTAATAATATATTATTTTATGTAAAGTAAAGTTTTTTAAATAGCAATAACAAAACCTAAATAAGACTTCATAATAGCAATTAAAGATTGGCCACTAAATAGAAAAAAAATATCACAATTAAAAATTACTCCTACGCTTAATTCTGTTACTAGTGTGATTGGTTTTTGTAATTATTTTAATGCAAAAAAAAAATCAGCTATCCCTTCATTTCCATAACATATTAAAAACAGAAGCTCGTGTTTTATTAATATGTTCATAACTTTAACAAAACTCTAATAAACAAACTCATGCAATGACGCAAACGCTCCTGTTTGAAAGTTTCATAATTAAAATGTTACTCTATTTGACTGTAGGTATAATAAATGAAAAACTCAAAAATCAAAAACTTTAAAATTTACTACTAGATTGAATAATAAGGCGCGTATAATAGCGCTGAACTAGAATTGCGAGCACGTAGCGAATGCCGAAATTGCAAAATGAGTCCCGAAAATTAACCGAATATAATGAGAGGAATTCCAACTAATACGATATTTCATATTTTATTTTATGACTATGAACCTGAAATGCTAACATCATTACAAATTTCATTCAACATATGATTAAGGGTTGGCGTTCAAAAGCATTTGGCTTTCGAATAATTTCTTTATTAAAAACATACGCCGTCATTTTTTTAGTAGTAAATAAGCCTTCAATTTTCACTTTGTTGTAGTAGATGTAAATGTCTTGTTATTATAATATTTTAAATGTATATTCGCAAAAAACTGTTGACATAAGCCAATTATAATAAAGTGTCTGAAGTTAGCCAAAATTTATAGTTAAGAAATAAGCTGACAAATTGTAAAACTAGTTCAGAGCTATGAAGACCGTATTTAATTTATCGTACCCGAGTAACTGTTGGCTCCTACTTGATAACATAGTTACTTAGTTTGTTTCAAGTGTCTTTCAACATGAGAAATGTTATAACTAAAGATCTAGAGATATTTTAAATAATAATGTATCAACTGTATCTTTGCGCTGGTAAAGAAATTATTAAAACCTTAAAAGGTACATTGCATTCATTCCAGTGCATCGATGATAAATATAATCGAATTATTTGAATAAAACAATGTTTATCGGATATACATATTTCGCGATTTATTACATTACTTTAACGACGAGATGTAAGTGTCTGTTTGCTGTAATGTGACGTAAGGTAAGGGTCAATGTTTAGTCGTATATTCGAAATACGTATTCTTGCAAAGTTTAAGATATCCGATTTTATACAGTGACTGTGTTCCACCTTCATTCTTTATGTAGGTCACGCCTATTTTGCTGTCGTTCATAAAAATTATTGTCAAGTTTCGAGACCCTATCGCTTTGACGGATATTGTGGTAAGAGCAGTGGCTCTTCTTTTTGCCCTTGTCTAAAAACACTCGCGGCTATGAATTGGCACTAACGAATTTAAACGGAACACTATAACACAATATTGTTACCGTCCTGAAATGCAGTACCTCCTTCACCCAGTTTATATAGTTCACGTCTCCTTTCGATTTTATTCAAGGTCAGTTGCTGTTATTTAACTTCTTATACGATGACACTGAGGGGAGTAGGGTGTTAGTTCGTATAGTTTTACATAATTAATGAAGGCACTATTGATAACTATGTTTATTGCCTAACAAAGTAATATTCTTAACAATTGCAGAACCTATATAAATAAATTTACTTTCACCTCTGTATTATTTCATTATGAACTTATATTTTAACTAAATACAGAAAAGTCGTAGCCAGAAACTAGTTTTACATATAAAGAAAAAGTCTTTCGTATATCTTTGAATAACCATTTTCCGACCCATCCGTAGCAATCACTTAGTATCCGGCTAAGCGAGTAAATGTTTATGTCTGAGTAAGTATTGGAAGGTTCAAATAGAGGATAAAAAAATGTTGAAGCTATCGATAAAGTTCAAGCAGTTCTTACTGGATGGCTTCGAAGTTCCTGCGTTTATCGATGTTAATAAAAATATTTTACGCTTCAGTGTCTGTTATTTTAATAAAACTTTAAGTCTATAGCTATCATTAATATAAATATTTATGTTTATCGTCCTTAATACACAATTTTTATACTACTTTTTTAGCGGGATAGTTAAGGAGAAAAAAATCCTAGTTTTTGTATATACATAAAAATTTTAGAAGGGTTTCTCGTGGAATTAAAGGCTTAAAAGTGTCAGTCTATTTGTAGTGCTTAAAACTTATAAGTATATAAGTATATTTTCTCTTTTTATGTATAAACAACTTTTAAAGAATAAAAAACGTATACATATACATTTAAACCTCATAAATTTTTGAAAAAAATAAAAATTTTGTAATCTGTAAAAACTTAATTGGTTAAAGAGAAATTAAATTTTAAAAGCTTAACAGGTAATGATTACCTCTATAAGGAGTAATTTAATGGATCTTTCTAATTCTTATAACACGATAAAAAAATGTGTGGGAAATGAAATCAGAACTGAGAATAGTCCAATAAACAATAACTAACGCTCTTAGTATTTAACTACCAGCCATCTAGCAGATTACACGGATAAAGAGCAAGAAAGTTAATAAAAGAACGGTTTAAAATGTTATAATTTCAAGACTCAATTATAGAATTACTTATTTCTTATAACATAAAAAGTAATTAATAAAATACACAAAAACAATTATTAATTTGTATAACAAACTAAATAATATGGGTCCGATTTGAGAAAGAAACTAAAAATATTTATTTTTTTATGTTAAATAACGTGTTACATTTTTTCCAATATTAATGTGAATTAAGTTAAACTTTAAACTACATATATTTGTTAAATTTTATATACCAAATAAAATTAATTAATACTTCATTATTATTAAAAAATTTTTTTCTAATTAAGAATAATTTAAAATAGAAATGGAATACGTTACATGATTAACCGACACCGTCCGCGTCGTTGAGAATTGTATTGTACTGTACTTCAACATAAACACATATATAAATATACTACATGTATAATGTAAGTTGGATAGGATAACATATAAAACAAAATACAAAGCCACAGAGCAGGAGAATCAAAACTTCATGGCGCAGAGAGTGTGTAAGGATTCTTAAAAGCGATTCCAACTTTAAAACTCTACATCCAATTAACATAGGTATTGTATAACTTTTTC